GTATGCAGATGACAGTAAACTGGGAGGAGTGGTAGATACGTTAGAGGGTAGGGATAGGATACAGAGGGACCTAGACAAATTAGAGGATTGGGCCAAAAGAAATCTGATGAGGTTCAACAAGGTCAAGGGCAGAGTCCTGCACTTAGGACGGAAAAATCCCATGCACTGCTACAGACTAGGGACCGAGTGGCTAGGCAGCAGTTCTGCAGAAAAGGACCTAGAGGTTACAGTGGACGAGAAGCTGGATGAGAGTCAACAGTGTGCCCTTGTTGCCAAGAAGGCTAACGGCATTTTGGGCTGTATAAGTAGGAGCACTGCTAGCAGATCGAGGGACGTGATCATTCCCCTCTATTCGACATTGGTGAGGCCTCATCTGGAGTACTGTGTCCAGTTTTGGGCCCCACACTACAAGAAGGATGTGGAAAAATTGGAAAGAGTCCAGCAGAGAGCAACAAAAATGATTAGGGGGCTGGAGCACATGATTTACGAGGAGAGGCTGAGGGAACTGGCATTACTTAGTCTGCAGAAGAGAAGAATGAGGGCAGATTTGATAGCTGCTTTCAATTACCTGAAAGGGGGTTCCAAAGAGGATGGATCTAGATTGTTCTCAGTGGTACCAGATGACAGAACAAGGAGTAATGGTCTCAAGTTGCAGTGGGGGAGGTTTAGGTTGGATATTAGGAAAAACTTTTTCACTAGGAGGGTGGTGAAGCACTGGAATGGGTTACCTAGGGAGGTGATGGAATCTCCTTCCTTAGAGCTTTTTAAGGTCAGGCTTGTCAAAGCCCTGGCTGGGATGATTTAGTTGGGGATTGGTCCTTCTTTGAGCAGGGGGTTGGAGTAGATGACCTCCTGAGGTCCTTTCCAACCCTGATGTTCTATAATTCTATCACCCCATACTGGAAGTGGTGTCTGGCTACCACAAAACAAAAGTATTTGTGATGACTATTATGAATTAATATATGAAAACATGCATCCTTTAAGTCAAGAGCTGTGAACCAATCCATGACCTACAGAGAAGGGATTATGGAGGCTGAAGTCAATATATAGAACTGAAGCTTCCAAAAATGTACTCGTTCAGACCCCTTCAGGGGGGTACTGGATGACCCTCCCACCTCCAATCCTTTTTTGTACCAGAAAGTAACAGGAATAAGCGCCCTGACCCCTCACACATACAGGGATCTCCTTGACTGCTCCTATCAGATGCAACTTTTCTACTTCTGCAAGAAGAATAGTCTCATGAGAGGGGACCCTTAAGAGGGAAATGTAGGGGAAAGGGGTGGGGGGAGGCAATTTTTCGAATTATATGGCATAGCCCCTTTCTGTTTTCTCTAGCACCCATTGGGGTCTGATGTAATTTGCCTCCATGCATTGAGAAAGTAGTGTAGCCTGTCTCCAAAAAAGGGGGTAGATTGGTTCTTAACTCTCAATCATCTCGTCAAAACTCAGACTTGTTCTGAGCTGAAGACATGGATGAGGAAGCAGGTTGGTTAGAGCTAGACCTTGATTTGAAAGGCCTCTTTCTAGGCTGACTCTGGAAGGCTGCCGGCTGTTGCCATGGTTGACGTCTCTGATTCGATGAAAAATACGGTTGGCATGGGACTGTGTCCTGTTGGGATACGTAAGGGTTAAGCAGAAAACTAGGAAACTGCTGGTGAACAGAAATGGTATCAAGGAGTAAAGGCACGGGCAAGCACCGCTTCTGCGCTTGATAGATGAAGTGCAGGCATCTTTCTGTGCTTGATAGATTTAGGGCTACCCTTCCCTTCTCCTTGTCAAGGGTTTGATAAGTCACAGCTGCCTGAGGAATGTGGGGATCTAAAGAATACCTTTTGGGTAAAGTAGTGTTATCTCCCCCTCCCTTCCTTTCCCAGCTACACAGGTGAATTCGGGGTTATGGCCCCTTGCTCCCTGCCCTACAAACTGCTGATCCAGGGAGTTCATGACTGCAATTATAGTGAAGAAGTGTATCTTCAAAGTAAACATTATCTATAGAATATGCTAATGCTGTAAACAGTAATCGGGGCGGGAATAATTATATTCAGTATAGAGTTATCAATATACATTGTATGGGTGTTCATATTACTCCATAAGGGTTTTGGGGGTGTTGTAGTAAATGTAGGAATTTACATACTAATGTAGATAAAAAGAGTGTGCTGTAAATAATCCAGTGCTTACTCGACAATTGGGTCAAGGGGAACAAGTACCGCAATAAAGAAGCCTGTCTGCTCAATCCGCCTCTAGGTCAGCCTGTTCTTTTAACATGTCCCACACTGGAAAGAAGGCCCAGAAGGGAATCAAACCCAGAAAACGGCTGTCAATCTCGCATCCTTTAGATTTCCAGCAGTTCAGCTGTTTTTTCTCTGAAAAGACCCTCCCTCTTTGAAGGGGAGATCCTCCAGCTTACTCCTCGTGTCCAGAGCTAGAGGAGACGAACGAAGCCATGCATGCCTCCTAATGGCCCCAGGAGAAGCCAGTACTCTGGGAGCAGAATTTGAAGAGTCAAAGGAGGCCCAGAAGGAGTGCGTGGCTACATTTTGGCCCTCCATTAAAATGGCATTTGCTAACCTTATTCTGTCATCAGGTAAGACTTGTAAAAACAGTGTCATCTTCTCCTGTAAGTGGGCCATGACTGCCTGATAATTTGCCGCCCTAATACTGAGGGACGATGGACAGAACTTTTCTCCCCAACGACTCAATCCTTTCCCCTTCCTTGTTGGCTGCAGTGGAGTGTGGCTGTCCAGATCTTGCCATGCGACTGGCAGCAGTCACCACCAGGGAATTAGGGCTTGTCTCCACTTACTGGGAGATCAATATGCAGTTGATTTAGCGGATCTAGTGAAGACCTGCTAAGTCAATTGCCGATTGCTCTCCTGTCAACCCACTGCAATAAGTTGACCTACGGTATGTCGACTCCAGCTATTCACATAGCTGGAGTTGCGTAACTTAGGTTGACTTAGCCCTGCCCTTAGGGATAGGATGGGTATGGAAGTAGGAGTGCCCCTCAGAGGGTATCTGATACAACTTGTCAGCTTTCTCAGAAACAGGCTGACAAAGTCCACAGGGATTTAGCCAGCTGTAACAAACCAACTAAGATAGATAGGGATATTCTACTCCTTGAAGTAGCATTCAAGGATATCAAACACAAGGTGAGAAGTCTCTTCCACAGCCACTGCAGGAAAATTTACAGTGGATACCATACAATCCATTAAATTGTGGAACTGTGTAGCATCCTCAGGAGAGGAGGCTGAAGCCACCCCCACATTCATCTGGTGATAAATCAGGTTAATAATCTGTTTCCAAATGCTACTACTCAAAGAAGGGAGCTACCTCTTCATCTTCCTCCTCAGACAGCATTTCCAGCCTCACCATCTGTAGTGTCAGTCTGAGGATCTCTGACTCTCAGATCCTTTGCAGAAGAAAAATTACCTCTCTGCCTACACAGATGATAATAGCAAAAGTCCTGAGGTAGCCCCCCATAAGGCGATGGGCCACAGGACAACCAGTTCCCCCAGCAACTAGGGTTCAGGAACATGCCTGCTGGAGGTGGATTATAGGATAGTATGAATTAAGCCACAGGTGTCTGCATTCTTCCTCTATTTCCCTCCTGGTAAAGATCCAGACATATCAGACATAGAATGTACCAGGGATAACTGCTGATCTTGAGGAGAGTATGGAGATCCAGTTCTTTGTGGTGACCCTATAAGGGTCCTAGGAGGAGGAAGCATAACGTGTTCACAGGAAGAACCAGCAGAGCCCTCTGATCTCTTCTTCCTATCACACGACTGAAGCCACAGCTTTGGAACTGTAGTGGTCTTGGGAGAATCAGACGGATCCGAAAGTTTGATGCAGTGGCCATTTTGTCCCTATGCCTCTTTCCCTTTGGTGATGGGACAGACGGAAATGAAAGCATCAATGGCCCTGATTCTGACACAATCATCGAATCCATCTTCCTGGATCTGGAAGTGGAGTTCAGAACTGACCCTGGTCTTGCAGCAGGAGGAGTGCCATGGGGGTTGGGTATCTACAAGGCACTAGGTACGGGACCAGTGAGGATGGCCGAACTGTCTCTCGAACTCTCTTCCAGAATTAGGGCAGTCGGATCTCACTGCGTGGTCTTCGGTATGGACATGCATAGCCTCGGAGGCTTGACTGAGGGAGCTGCAGGAACCCAATCTGGCCCCGACAGTCTATGGCCTCTTGGAAAGCTTCGATCACTGGGAGCCACTGAAAATGAGAGGAGCAAAAACCGGTTTCTTAGACCCTGGATCTGAGGAGTGATGGGATCCAAAGGGTCTAGCATGGAGAGCTTCCTTGACAAGGAGGAGCTACAAACAAGTCTCCCTGTCCTTGAGGGCTCTGAGAGCGAAGGTCTGACAAGTCGAACACCCAGAAAGCGAGCACCCTTCTCCCAGGGAACACATGTGATTGTCAGATGCTGAGAAGCCAGCTGGGCAGGAAATGCACCTCCTAAATCCCAACCTCCTCTGCTTCTTTGAGTCCACCAGACCTGTGAAACACACTCACTATAGTACAAAGCTAACACTAGCTCTCTAAAAGAGAATGACTCAGGCTCCAAAGAGCCAGGCCAGGTTCACATCCATGCAGGCCCAGAGTTGGAAGGAAGTGAGGTGGCGAATGCGCTCCACCCCATCCAGTCTTGCCGTCAGGATGTCAGTGACACAGAGGATGGACGAGATGCGGGAGAGCTCTAGATGACCCTGCTAGAAGAAGGTTCCAAGGTCAGGCATCACAGACAGTGCAGTATGGAATGTGAATGTGCAGAGCCACCTGAAGGGAACAAAGGTTAGGCTACCACAATGCCTGCCCCACTTCACCCTCAGCTACTGCTTTCTGCTGCATCCCACACCCAAGCTTTCTGTTCCGATTTAGGCGGAAGGCTCTTTGGAGCCAAGATCTCATCCCTATCCTTGTCTGTAGAGCACCCAGTATGCCTCTACGTGCACTACACTGATTCCCAGGGAATACATCCATCTAACCTTTCGAAGACCAGTCGGCTGAGCGTTTCGCTGGTTACAGACGGCTCCTTCAGGGTCTCCTGCAGGATTCCAATCTTCTTCTTCAAACTCTGAAGAAAAGAAAAAACAACAACAAAAGAGCACAGATGAGGAAATGGGAAGTCTGTGCCAGAGGAAGTTTGCATCCTCCTGCCCAGGAAAGCACACAGGCTGCATCACAGGGGAGAGGATCAGGAGAGAGGCGACAGAATAGGTATGGACAGTGAGCTAGGTGTCCAGCTAGAGCTGGCACAAGTCCTGGCTCTGCAGCGGTAGGCCATGGACTGCTACCAGCTACTGTAGGCTGAGGAGTGGAGGATCTCACCATAATCTCCTTGTCTGCATTACTCAGATCCTTCTGGGTGCTTTTTAACTCCTCCTCCATCTTCTCCAACTCCAAGAATGTTTTCTGCAGCTGCAGAGTAAGAACAGTTCAACAGTGCAGTGGTAGGTAAAGATCCCAACCACATATCAGGTATACAGTAAGCACAAGCTATCTTTCCCAGTCAACTTTCAGGCCCTACTGTTTGAGAATTTAACTCGCCATAGTGGAGACACAGGGCAGCCACTCTAGATCACCTAGATCAGTGTTTTTCAAAGTACAGGTCGCGAACTAGTACTGGGTTGTGGAATGTCAGGCGCTGCTGATTTAAATTATAACGATCGTTGCCACGCAGCAGCTCTAAAGGGCCCCGCAGCAGGGACCTGGAGAGGAGAAAGGTAGGGTGGTGGGGGGAACTGGGGAGGGGAGCAAGTTGGGGCTTGCAGGGCTGCTGCAGGCCTCTCCCCTGGCCCTGGAGCTCCATGCCAGGCCAGGAGACGGGCCCCTTCCCCCGGAGCTCTGTGCTGCTGGCCGAGAGACAGAGAGAGAGAGGGGCAGAGGCGCAGGTCCCTCCCCCGGAGTTAACTGCCTGCACCCCAAACTCCTCTTCCCTGGCCGAAGAGCCCACACCCCCAGCCAGAGCCCTCCCCCCCCGCATCCCAACCCTCTGCCCCAACCCTGAGCCCACTCCTGCACCTTGAACCCCTCACCCCACCCTCTGCCCTACCCTGGGCCACCTCCCTTACTAAGGCTAGTGTCTAGTGTTAGTTATGTAAAGTGGGTTAAGCTGGAATGTATTGCAATATTATGATTTTATGAAAACGCTAGTTAAAAAATATAATTATGTTTGGTCATGGGTATCAATTTTTCTTCAACTGCGTCACGAGGAAAAAAGTTTGAAAACCACTGGCCTAGATCGCTGGCGTACTCCTGAGTAAGCAAGCCATGCCTGTTCATTCCCTCAAGCCGCCTGCATTGGGAATCCCATGGTGGTTTATCTCAGACCCAGCCTCCAGCAGAGAAGTTTCACAGGTGATTTCCTGAGGTTTCAGGCCCAATGGTGACAGCTTTTCCATGGTTTAACACATGGGTGGCAGCAGCTGCACTTTGGTTCAATCATTTGAGTTTCCAAAGGATTTGAGACACATCAGATCAAAGGGAATCAGGATTGCCACCTTGGAGGACGGTGATGATGGGGCCTCACCACTCCCACAGGGACAGCAGCTTTGCTGCATCAGCATTAGTACAACACAAACATGCCAGTCACTGCAACTTCACTAATTCAGGAAAGTAGTTCTGTTCTAGGACCTTGGACTATGACATTATGGGACTTCAGTGGTATGGTGACATACCCCTGGCTACTCCTATTCAAGGGCAGCTTGTATTCAATCCCTGCCACTCAAAATCACAATACATCTGCTCTGCTGACACTGGAGGGCCGAGGGATTCCTATTTGGCAATGCACTCCTCCTGTGCCTCTTCATCAGTCGGGTACAAGTTTCAAGTCGCTACTCAATCCCACCTCCAGTCTGGGTCAGCAGCTACAAACCTCAACCAAATTATCAAGGGATGCCACTGGCCAGGACAGGACCTGCCAGATCACTAGGGCTGGGAAGACCACGGCTGCTTGGATACCCAACAGCAAATTAACATTACCAATGTCACTTTAGCCCCCAAGCACACCTTGCAACAGCACCTATTTCAGACAGTGAGCTATATAGGGAAGGGATGGTAGCTTGCTGCAGGGCACAAATGCCCTATACACAAGAGGGCAGAACATTTCATCAGAGGTTAGTTATAGCATTTGTTCTGTTACAAGCTCTGGACTTGTAAAGAAGAGAGAGATTTACCTGGTTCTTTAACAGCTTAGGATAACAGATTGACCAATCAGTGGAGCTCTTCAAACACGTGCTCCAAGCACAAGGAAGCACCAGACGAATTTTTCAGTTTACCAAGCAGTGGCTAGAGTAACTGATACAGCTGGCTGGCAGGAGCAGCGCTTACTGTGAGCAAAGGGCAGAGGCTATCGTTGGACTATGTGAAAGACCCAGACCAGTGGGGTACAGGAGTCTGGTAGAGGGCAAATATACTGGTCACTGGATGAGTAGTTTTCTGTTCCCTGAGTGACCAGAGCAGGGGCTGCACTAGAGTAATCAGGAAGCTGCTAGAACCAGTTAAGGCAGGCAGGCTAATTAGGACACCTGGAGCCAATTAAGAAGAAGCTGCTAGAATCAATTAAGGCAGGCTAATCAGGGCACCTGGGTTTTAAAAAGGAGATCACTTCAGTTTGTGGTGCGAGTGTGAGGAGCTGGGAGCAAGAGGTGCAAGGAGCTGAGAGTGAGAGGGTGTGCTGCTGGAGGACTGAGGAGCACAAGTGTTATCAGACACCAGGAGGAAGGTCCTGCGGTGAGAATAAGGAAGGTGTTTGGAGGAGGCCATGGGGAAGTAGCCCAGGGAGTTGTAGCTGTCATGCAGTTGTTACAGGAGGCTCTATAGACAGCTGCAGTCCACAGGGCCCTGGGCTGGAACCCGGAGTAGAGGGCGGGCCCGGGTTCCCCCCAAACCTCCCAGTTGACCTGGACTGTGGATTCTCCCAGAGGGGAAGGTCTCTGGGCTGTTCCCCAACCCACATGGTGAATCTCTGAGGCAAGAAAATCTGCCAATAAGTGCAGGACCCACCAAGATAGAGGAGGAACTTTGTCACAACATGTACAGAACAGAGATCACCCAGACACCTTTGATGTGCAACTCCCTGCACTTTCCTTACCTTATTATTGGCAGAAAACAGCTCCTTTTTCAGCTTCTCAGTCAACTCACTAGACGCCTTCCGAGCCTCTTTCAAATTTTCATATTCCCTGGAAAGAGCCCAAACTACAATCACTCTGGGCTTTGAGATAGAGTTCTTAACTGGAGTCAGTGATCACATGCTGCCTGCAGATACCTGATTCACAGCTCCACGGCTGCAGAAAAGAGAGTTACCTTTTCCGTAACTGGTGTTCAAGATGTGTTGCTCATGTCTATTCCACAATAGGTGTGCGTACTCGCCACATGCACCGGTACCAGAAGTTTTCCCCCTAGCAGTACCTGTAGGGGAGCACCCCTAGCAACCCCTTGAGTGGCACCTCTATGCTGCGTGCTCCCCCCACCCTCAGTTCTTTCTTGCCAGACAACTCCGACAGAGGGGAAGAAGGGCGGGATGTGGAATAGACACGAGCAACACATCTTGAAGAACACCAGTTACGGAAAAGGTAACTCTTTTCTTCTGCGAGTGATTGCTCATGGGTATTCCACAATAGGTGATTCCAAGCTATATCTGTTGGAGGTGGGTAGGAGTTCACAAACTCTCGGGACAGAGCACAGCCTTGCCAAACTCGGCATCTTCCCTGGTTTGGGAGACGATCGCATACTGCGAGGTGAACATGTGAACTGAAGACCATGTGACAGCCCTGCAAATGTCCTGAATGGGGACATGGGCTAAAAAGGCAGCCGACGAAGTTTGCGCCCTAGTTGAGTGCCCTCACAATAGACGGCGGAGGGATTCCCGTAAGGTCATAACAGGTACGGATTCATGAGGTGATCCAGTTGGAGAGCCTCTGAGTGGAGATCGGTCAACCAAACCCCTCATGCGTTCAGCCAAGGTGATGAACAGCTGCGAAGACTTCCTGAAAGGCTAAGTCCGTTCCAGGTAAAAGGCCAGAGCCTGTCTCATGTGAAGTGCGTGGAGGCGGCGTTCCTCACTGGACGCATGGGGCTTGGGGCAGAGGACTGGCAGGAAAATGTCCTGACCCATGTGGTAGGCAGAGACCACCTTCAGGAGTAATGAAGGATGTGGGCGGAGCTGGACCTTATCTGTATGAAACACCGTGTACGGGGGCTTGGAGGTCAGGGCCCTGAGTTCTGAGACCCGTCTAGCAGACGTGATCGCCACCAGGAAGGCTACCTTCCATGAGAAGTGCGACCAGGAGCATGTAGCTAACGGCTCAAAGGGGTGACTAATGTAAGGGAAGAGACGATCCAATCCCTTAAGGAATCGGCCAGTCATAGCATGAGAGAATACCGTGTGCCCCTGTGGGTGGAAGGCTGATATGGTCGCCAAGTGCACCTTGAAGGACGAGGGCGCCAGGCCCTGGGCTCTAAGGTGAAGGAGGTAGTCTAAAATGAGCTGGATCGGGGCAGCCATGGGGGAAATGCCTCGTTCAGACGCCCATCGGGAAAACCAAGACCACTTTGCCAAGCAGGCTCAACGCGTGGAGGGTCGCCTGCTTTCCAAGAGGATGCCTGAACCCCTTCTGAGAACGTCCTTTTCTCCTGGCCTAACCATTGAGCAGCTACGCTGTGAGGTGGAGTGCAGCTAGGTTGGGGTGGAGGAGAGCAGGTCCTGGGAGAGCAGGTCTGGGCAGGTCGGCAACGGCGGGGCGACTGCCAGGCTCATGAGGGTCCCGTACCAATGTTGCCTGGGCCACACCGGGGCAATCAGGAGGACCTGGGCCCTGTTTGTCTTTAATTTTTCCAGGACCTGACCAATCAGTGGGATCGGGGGGAAGACATAGGGAAGCTGGCCTGAACAGGATAGTAGGAAGGCATCGGAGATAGTGCCCACTCCCAGTCCCCGCTTGGAGCAGAACCGGGGACACCGGCAGTTCTGCCGGGTCGTGAACAGGTCCACCTGAGGAGTTCCCCACTCTTGGAAAAGTCTGTGCACCACCTCTGGGTGTAAAGACCACTTGTGCTGAGAGGAGAAGTCTCGGCTCAGGCGATCCGCCCGTGAGTTCCGGGCGTCCGCTAAGTGGTAGGCCTGTAGGCAAATATCGTGGGCGATACAGAAGTCACACAGCCTGAGGGCTTCCTGGCAGAGGAGCGGGCCCTGCCTCCCCTTTTGATGTAAAGCATTGAGGCCATGTTGTCCGTGAGAACCCTGACCACTCTGCCCTCCAGGTGTGAGCAGAAGGCCATGCACGCCAGCCGGATCGCCCTGAGCTGCTTGACGTTTATATACAGGGCAAGGTTCTGCGCAGACCACAGACCTTGGGTCTGATCGTCCCGCACATGGGCTCCCCACCCCAGGTCTGATGCGTCGGACACCAGCTCCACCGTCGGTGGCCTTCCCCTGAACAGGACCCCGGGGAGCATGTTCCCCAGTGAGGACCACAATTGTAGGGAGGTGATCATTGGCTCGGGCACAGTGAGGACCTTGTCCATCCTGTCTCTGGCCTGGGAGAACACCGAGACCAACCAGAGCTGGAGAGGCCTCATCCTGAGTCTGGCATTGCGAACCACATATGTGCACACCGACATGTGACCCAGGAGCTGGAAACAAGCTCTGGCTGTCGTCATGGGAAACTTTGTGACTGTGTCGATGAGCCCTTTCAGGGTCTCGAATTTGTCCGGTGGGAGGGAGGCACTGGCCAACGTCGCATCCAGGACTGCCCCAATAAACTCTATGCGCTGTACCCGGACTAACGTGGCCCTGGTGTCGTTCACCAACAGGCCCAGTGTGGCGCACGTGAACAGGAGCGCCACGTGATCCCGCACCTGCGAACAGGAGATGCCCTTGACCAGTCAGGATCGGAGGAGTGCCACGTGATCCCGCACCAGCCAGTGGTCCAGATAGGGGAAGATCTGGACCCCATGATGTCTAAGGTAGGCCGCCACCACCGACATGCACTTTGTGAATACCCTGGAAGCAGTAGACAGTCCAAATGGGAGGACCGTAAATTGGTAGTGCTCTTGCCCAACCGTGAAACAGAGGAAGCGCCTGTGCCCCTCAAATATATGAATGTGGAAGTATGTGTCCTGCAGATCGAGGGCGGCATACCAGTCCCTGGGATCCAGGGAGGGGATGATGGAGGCCAGAGAGACCATGTGAAACTTGAGCTTTACCATGTACTGGTTCAGGCCTCAGAGGTCCAGGATGGGCCTGAGTCCCCCTTTGGCTTTCGGGATAAGGAAATAGGGGGAGTAGTACCCCTTGTGTTTGAACTCCGCTGGCACCACTTCTACCGCTCCTAAGCCAAGGAGCTGCCCCACCTCCTGCTCTAGCAGGGCCTCGTGAGAGGGGGTCCCCCAGAAGAGATGGGGACAGAGGGTGGTTGGGTGGGGTAGAGGAAAACTGGAGGGTGTAGCCCTGGGATACGGTGTTGAGCACCCAACGGTACGAAGTCAGCCATGACCACTCCGGGAGAAAAGCACACAACTGGTTGGAGAAGGGAAGCTTTATTGTGGGTGGATCCTGGTGTGAACTGGTCGGTCTCCTCCGGGTGTCCCGTCAAAACTGACGCTTCCCCGCCTGTTTACCCTTGGAGGACCC